CCCTGAGAATCTTGAGTACAGGAAGTCTGGCAGATGTAGAGAAACAGGCAGAAGTGCACAGAGAAGTGACAAGCCTGATAAGGGCTGAGGGAAATGATCTATGAAGATTGAATGACAGAAAACTAATGGCATAATGTTGAGCACTTAAAATATATTTTTACTAAAGTATTATTAATGAGAATAGTCTTCCAAACTATGTTTGCTTTGTTTTGTGAGAGGACTCAGTTGTGACTTTCTATATTGCATATTTGTTGGTTAAAAAGAGATTGATGAATAGTTGGTTCTCCATGTCCAACAAAGGACAAGGGAAAATCAGTGTAGCTCAGTGAGCAAAAAAAAACCCACAACTTATGGAATATTCAGTAGAACTTTCTTACTGTTCAGATAATTACTTACTAGAACAGGCTACCTACGGAATTTCCACTGAAAGTTGTGATGAAATGGGATAAAAACCTGTAAGGGATGGTTGAGGATTGATTCACCTGGCCTCATGATAAGTGGTTTGACTAGGGATCAGCTGAAGTTTTCTCCAGCCCTATGTTTCAACAGAAGAGGAAAGAAGAAATCAGTATAAAGGGTTCCATTATTTTCCAATCCTTCTTCACTTGTAGTTTTACACACAGCCTGTTTCCTCCTCAAATTCTTTCCTCCTGTGTGGTTGGTGCTGATTGGGAGTACTCATCTTTATAATAAAAGAAGCCAGTAATCATAAAGTAATCATAAAGACAGAATTTATGTAGAAAATGAAGTAGTTTCTGTCCATTCTTGCAAAGGCAGGACAGACACAGGATAGGAGGAAAGCATAAAACCCCCACATTTTCCCCAGTTCCCCTCTCAGTCTTTATATGTTATGTTTCTTTGCTCTTGCAACAATAGTTGCACATTTCTCTGTAGATCTCTGCCTTTGATAGTCTTTTCCACTAGCTTTTCTTATCAAGGACTTGAGCATGTTTGCATGAATTCTAGCTAAAATTCCTATAATGTGGGGATGAAGGGGTTTCCTATGAACATGACCTATGACCATTTCTTGTCTAAAATCCATATATAACTGATCTTCAAAAAACAGCTGATAAAGACTTTAAGATATACTGGCAGTGTGTCTCAAATTTTCAGAACAATACTCTTAAAAAACCAGCATGATTCCAAAATCATTATGAATATATGCTGTCACTGTTTTTATCTTGTCTTGTACTGTTCTTAAGATGGTCTGAAAATGGATGCCAAATTTCTGCAGTTATCAGTACCTACAAAACTTTTTAAAAAGCAATAAATGGCAAGAACTGCCAGGTTCTACTCTTGGTCTTAATCTTTAACCAAGACTGGAAAAGACCATGTAATTTTGAACTTTTTATATTAAAACTGTACATAGACTTAGAAGTATCCACTTGTTTTGGCTCTGCCGGGGTCCAAATCCTCTCTGACATTCACAAAATTAGTATAAACTCACAAACTTACAGTTATATGGTTCTTAAATTTTTGGCAATGTTGTTTTTCTTCTCCTGCTCATTCCTTGACATATTCAAACAAATAACAATACCCAGTACTTACTTTTTACCAGACAAGGCAAAACATCATCACTAGTAATTGTTTTCCTTTATAGGTTGACAATGGTCTTGCTAATTGTGGATACCTCACTGAAGTTCACAGTTGCCACGAAATACTTGTGGATCACTGTTCATAACTGTATAAAATCTCATGATTTTTTGTTTGAGAAAGGACTTCAGCACATCTCAAAACGTCTCTTTCTAAGATAACAGTTAATTTAATATATTGAGTGCAAATTTGTTTCAAGGTTGTTGTTCTTTGGTTTGGGTTGAGGGTTTTTTTTGGTGTTTGGGGTTTTTTTAATGAAGCAAGTCATTTGCGCATATGAACAGAATGTTTATTTTCTGCTGGATGGTAGAGGATGCCAACTTGCAACCTTTATCTAAAATATATCACATGTCCAGGGATGTAAGGCTGCTTGTAAAAAATGGACTGGAAACAACAAGCAGAGAAAAGTTTGTAAATACCCAGCAGCAAAAGAATAATTTTTTAAAAAATGTATTATTGTGCATGGTAAATACACATTTAAGTTACTTTTTCTTGAAAGAATAGCATGAGGTCAACCCTTGAGATTCCATAATTGTAAAGAACGTAAATAACAAAATTCACCATAAATTCACGATGCAGCATTTACACAGATAGGTAAAAGGAACTCCCCCCCCCCAAAAAAAAACAACAAAAAACTGAATGCACACTCTCTGCCTAACGCACAAAAGTAATACAAAAGCACGAGTATGTACATGCTTAAGCTGAACAAACAAGTGTTTATACACGTGCTTATGTTATATTCCCTTGGGTGGTCCACCTTCCTTCTGTGAAACTATTCATGATAACAGAGTTAAGCATGTGTACTCACAGGAAGAGAGACTAAGCTCTCATAAATAAATCCTATTATGTAATATCTGATAAAAGTTGTTTTTACATCAGTATCAAGCTTAGAAACAAGGAACGCTCATTACTGGGCCAGATCCGAGTTCAGTGTCCTGACACAACAACAGACTAGTACTAGATACTTGAACTAAATTTACATGTAATGGCAGATACGGGATGATTTTTACTCACAGTAGCCTTGTATCTCAATAAATCCTTTACTCTAAAGCCTTACCAAGTCAGCAAATTCCATTAGCCACAGTGGTGTGGGGTTTTTCGTTTTTGTTTTGTTTTTTAAAAAGAGATAACTAAAAGAAACCAGAAACTTCCTTTAAGCAATCCTGATTTTGCTACTTCTGCATCTCTAAAGGGAGGTCCAACTGCTTTTTGGTTATCAGACTGAGTGTGTAGATATTCCAAGCTTACTGTATCTGTTCCAGTTGCCCTAATACACTTATCATGGCACATTAGTTTGTCTGCTTTTTCAAACACTTTGTTCTTCTGATTCAGTCATCATACAAGCACCTTTTCTATTCTCCATTCTCTTTTCTTTTTCTCATTCTTTCTAAATTTGAAATATTTATTCCAAAAACGGAGTTTTCGGTGTCTTACACCATATGAAAATAAGCTGAGTACTTCCATAATGACATTATCTTCTTTTCTATTATTTCTGGCTTGCTCGATTTGTCTACGCTGCAAAGTGAGCTGCCTAGTTAATTGTACAGGCCCCTTTTCTGCGTCAATATCGTTGACCTAATCTGTGTGCTGATTCAGGAGTTTTTGCAATGCATTATTACTTAACAACTGTCAACATCAAGCTTCACCTGAATCAGAAAGGTGCTGACCTGCCTCTGGAGCTGCTCCGAGCGGCCTCACGCCGGGCGAGCAGCTGGCAGGCTCAGGAAGCAGCTCAGGTGTCAGCAAGGGCTGAGCCGAACTCGCTAGATGAGCCAGAACACTTCCAAGCTGAAGAGCCATGGCAAAGCACCAGGTCAGGGCCTGGCGATGCCCGGGCCCGGTGTCACCGCTCTGCGGGGGGGGGGGGGGGGGGGGCGGGCGAGGGCTGCGGC